CAACATGGCCTCAGCAAGTTGCAAGGGCAGATGAAAATGTAACCTTCTGTCTAGGCACTCAAATGCTCCTAAAAATCTCATCACTCCAGCACTTTAGGAGGCCGAGGCAGGCTGATCATGAGGTCAGGAGATCGAGACCATCCTGGCTAACATGGTGAAACCCTGTCTCTACTAAAAAACACAAAAATTAGTCAGGCGTGGTGGCAGGCGCCTGTAGTCCCAGCTACTCGAGAGGCTGAGGCAGGGGAATGGTGTGAACCTGGGAGGCGGAGCTTGCAGTGAGCCGAGATCACGCCACTGCACTCCAACCTGGGCGACAGAGAGAGACTCTGTTTCAAAAAAAAAAAAAAAAAAAATTTCATCACTGGGAAAAGAGTTGGCAAAGGGTATTGGAGGACAGATAGCAGTCTTTGTCACCATACCTGTTAGGTGTGTCCCAAGTCCTCCATTTATATCTGTAAGTCAAAAGACAAATAGGTCTAAGCATTGACCTACTAATGCGTTCATAATGTGTCCTACATTAAAATGAGGTTGTTTTTAATTTTGCTTGTTATGCCTTGATTTTTACTCAACTCAGAGATTAATTCTCATCAACTCTGTTAAAAACAAGGTAGAAGACAACTCCTACGATGGAACTAGGTGCAAAACATCACTTACATTTTTATCTAGTTTTATCACAGTGAGTTCTGCTGCATTTTTTATTTTTAAAAGGTGGGCATTAGATTCTAGGAGACAAGCAATCCTAGTTTTATCAACACAGCTATGGGATATTGGAACTACCAAAGCAGAAATCTCATAAAGAAACCGTGTACATTCATTCGCCATGACTAACTTTTCTGTCTTGTGGAATTGAAAGTTATAAGAATGGCTTTCTTTAAAGCAATATAGAAACTTTTTTTATTGCAAACAGCTAAATAAAGGCTGGCAAAAACAATAGGTTCATTTTTTACTGCAGATCTTCAAATTATAGGAAACTTGTCTCTTGGCCAATCTGGGCTGGCTTGGAGCCAAAATAGATGTCTCCATTCTCATCCTCACCCTTATACTTATTGTGGGCAAGATAAAAACCCTTAATTTTAAAAACTCGAGCCAAGTGTTGGGTAAGAAGCAGAGTGACTCCCTTAACTACACTGGTCCTGAAAAAAAAAATCATATAACTTTATACCAGTTCATTATTTTTTTTCAGTTTTTAGAAACTGAGTACTGAGAACAAGAAACTTTAACAAAAGGGAAATTCAAATATTTTGATGGTCTATTATAAATCAAGTTTTAATAACTAGAGGTATATACAAGTACAATCGATCAATGAGAAATACTCACTGGTTAAATACTTCTGATCAAGTCCTTTTCTCTAGGTGAGTTGGCCCTGAGAAAATCAGCAGGCATCTTTCCATTTCAAAGCACAAAAGGCTTCTCTTCTGTTTTTAGCCATGTCACCCTCCCACCTTTTTTTAATTAACAAGATTTGAGATCATTTGGCAAATTGTAACCATAAGAGTGAATATCGTGATTGGATGATGTTTTTTCGCTGGAAAAATAAATCTCACTGCGTTTCTCCCTCTGTACCTCATAAATGTCACTTCCTCTTCATTTCACATTTATCTTGCTTTCGAAATCCATTATGCAATTGTCATTTCATTGAAATCAAAAGCTGTCTCTTAATTACATAAGAATGGATTATAAATCGGTTCTTCATCTCTCTATATGTTCCTTTGATAATGATTACAGCTCAATGTCTATTTCTATACACAAAAGACCAAAGTGGACTTGACCGGGTTAAAATTAAGACTTGCAAAATTCTGAAGCCTAGAAGACAAAACAAATCAATATACAATGCATCTAGTTTGTGATAATCATGTGATCTTGTACTGATGAAATAATGCAAAGCTTGTTAAGTCAATGGTTTTGGAGAAGACAGTGGAAGCTGCATTTCCTCCTTTGACTGAGTTAAATTTAGCAGGGAAAGGTAAGCCATATTTCCAACAGGAATTAGAAAACACTGCAGTTGGTGATGTTACAGGGAGGATCCTCTTGCAACCTAACTTGCAATAAATGGACCTTCATAAGACTCGAGTCTGCTGCATATCCTGGTAATTAATCATACGGAGGCACCAACCCTTAAGTATTAAACACTCTCTAAATGGGAAAAAAATTGCTGTATTGCTAAGCACTAGGACTTGATTCATTTAGTATTAACTTTCAGTCTTTATTAAAGTGGCTTTAATTTTATTTGTGTGATGTTAGTGCATTTCTGGAAAAATAAACACCAAGGTTTTTTAGCTGATTGTACATGATACGCTCCTGATTCAAATTGTAAGCTGCATGCTATTTTCTAGGAGAAATAAAGATCCCCATTTTTTGTTTTTAAAAACACGCCACAATGGTAAGTTGCATTTCAATATCCTGTGAAAAGTGTGTACTGAGGACAGCACAGTGGCAGGCACCGGGCTGGGAACAGAACCCGCAATGATGCTCAGCGGCGGGCACTTGGTCCAGGTTGCCCACAGCCTAGATGGGAGGCAGGAGAGGACTCCAGTAACTGTCATCTGATACAATCGAGGCTGTGCAGACACGGTAGACAGATCTGTTTTACTGGAAGGATCCAGGGCAGCTTCCTATAGGAAGCACACTTTAGTTCAGCTGTGAAGAGTAAGCAGGAGTTTAGTGCCGGGGCAGGGCTGCTGGGGGAGCACCCTCAGGATGGGAGTACCCTCAGGATGGTGGGGGGGTGGGGCAGAGCAGCTCATGGCATAGTGTGGGCTGCACCGAAGACACAAGCCAACACACAGGCCGCGTGTGGTCTAGCAGCCATTGTCTCCAGCACCCCTGCACTCGGCAGAACCGAGGCCAGCCCTGGTAGATCCAGATTCCCAGAGAAACATGAAAGCTCCCGGTCCCAACCCTGGCAACTTCCCAACAGCCCCTAGACAGTCTGGCTCACCGTCTAGAGCCCTGCCTGCGACCTTGTGTTGGGGAGTTGTGGTTCTGTTTGGCTCCAGACATAGCCCTTTTCCCAAAGGAGGACCGGAAGCCAATCCAGAGCCAGCCAATCCTGCAGCCTCTGGGGGCTGGGCCCCAGCAGGTGTCTGCAGAACCTGCACCGTCAAGCGCTCCCAAACGAAGAGGGTCACTGGGCTCCTGGACCCCTGAAGTCTTTCCCCACTCCACCGGCACTCCCATCCCCTGGAGCCATCGGCCCCTGGAGCCCTCAGGTTAGGCCACCGCCCATCAGGAGCTTACCCTGAGAGCCTGCCCTCCTCCACTTTTGGCCACAGATGACTCCAGAGATGTCCATGGACCTGACTTGGTGCTAGACCCAGGGGCGGATGCCAGGGAGATTGCGACGCATTGGCCGGTCGGTTGGGAAGTCACATACAGAGAGAGCATCTTTGGGTTCGCTCTGAGCTCCCTCCTCTCCCCTCTGCCCTTCCCTTCCTCCCTGGGTGACCATAAATGTTCCCGTGTTATCTATTGATGATTATAATCACACGAAGTCAGGACAGATGGGCTCCACTCCTCAGCTCACAGCCATAAAGTTTACAAACTCGCCATGGCCGGGGGATAAATTATCATTGCTGATCTCTTGCTCATTTACACAGAGCATTTTTCTTCAAGATGGCTATTTTTCCTTTCAATCATCTGGCCAAAGTTTTTTTTTTATTTTTTATTTTTTTTACCAACTTGATTTGTAGAACATGAGAAATATTGGGAAGTTGAAGAGCAGGTTAGAAACCATCATCATAAGTGATTAGGCAAAAAGGATATTTCTGAACAAAGAAAGGAAGCCCAGTTTCTCATCCTTTATAATCCCACGGGACCACTGAGCAATTGTGTATTCCCACTGGGTCATGGGCAGTGAGAAATGGGCCCCCAGTGGTTTATTTAAAAGTGTATTGTCGAAGATAATGGTGCTCAGATGAAGTTTTTAGGCTCCTTGATGACTGCTGTTGTTCCATGGACTAATTATGTCTACCTTTGATTCACTAATGTTGCCCAATCAAGCTCCTCATATGGGATGATATTTCTGGTGGTTGTTTTCCAGATTCTCCCCCCACAATGGTACCAGTGGGTATTGTGTAACACTATAGAAAAGGAATGATTAATTCAAAGTTCAGGTGCAAGACAGGGTCAGAAAAGAAATACTCCTGGATAGAGTGAGCATTTCAAGATGAATTTGTGACTTGAAACATCATTTTATGATGCATTTTCTATTTTGTTATCAGGGGAAGCCTGATGGCTGACACGCGAATGATCGCAGCATTTTGGTGCCATGTTCTGTGATAGGCTTTTCATAAAAATTAGCTGACATTGTCATGAGCACACAAGTAAATTTATAGCTTTCATACTGGACTGCCATTCCCAGAGCAATTTCCAATCACTTGGGCTTTTTATTAAGTTTATTGTACGTTTATTGTTCAGTGGAGTGTAAGCAGTGAGATTACAAATAAATGTAAGTTCCACTGGATATGAAGTGAAGCTTGTAGAATTAGGAGAGAAGGGGGTGAAGGAAGCCACACAGTAATTTGAATCACTGGTGATAGGAAACACCACCCACTGATGTTTCTTGTCACTTGCTTCTATACAGAAGTTTAGGAAATTGACATTCCATTCACATTCAGGTTTCCCCGGAAAGCCCTCCTAGGAGAAGTCTTTGTGGAAAACTTGGTACTGCACATCACTCTGTAATGCAAAGAAAATGCATCCTGCTGTCGCTCCTCTGGGTTCCTTTTCTGTTTGTTGCTGTGGCTTCCTGCTTGCTCCCTCACCTGCTAGGTGTGTCATGCTGGCATTGTGAACATTCCCCTCCAAACTGGTGAGGACCCTGTTAGGAAGCATGACTGGTCAGTGTGCCTGTGCACCCCACAATGACCAGCTTCCTTCCCGTGCTTTCATTTAGTACTGAAGACACTGGACCATTTAACTTTCCATTATGCCTTTATGTTTCCCCAAAGAAAGGGTTCATAATCACTAAAGTTCTACTGTTGGGTTTTTTTTTCAGCTGTTGATTGAAAGTTGTTAGTTAAGGTGTGTCAGGGTTCTCTAGAGGGACAGAACTAATAGGACAGGTGTATATATAAAGGGTTGATTACATAAAGTGTATATATAAAGGTTTATTAAGGAGTATTGACTCACACGATCACAAGTTGAGGTCCCACATTAGGCCATCTGCAAGCTGAGGAGCAAGGAAGCCAGTCAGAATCCCAAAGCTGAATAACTTGGAGTCCAACGTTCGAGGGTGGGAAGCATCTAGCATGGGAGAAAGACATAGGCTGGGAGGCTAGGTCCATCTAGTTTCTCCATATTCTTCTGCTTGCTTCTATTCTGACCACACTGGCAGCTGATTAGATGGTGCCCACCCAGGGGGGTCTTCCTTTCCCACCTCACTGACTCAAATGTTAATCTCCTTTGGCAACACCCACACAGACACACCAAGGAACATTACTTTGCATCCTTCAATCCAATCAAGTTGACACTCAGTATTCACCATCACACAGGGTGAGAACAGAGATTGGAAGGGAGGGGGAACCCTGTGCCTGTACAACCCTTCTCCTATCTTAGAGGTCCAGAAGTTGCTATCCTGCCTTTTGTTGTTGTGTGTTAGGAAGGCGACCTTTTAATTTTAGCGGGCATCTGTGTGCAGACACTATGGGTCACCACTCCCCCCTCTAACTTCCTAACAGACTCCAGCTTTTGTCTTCAGCTCCAGGGGATGAATCATAATTGGCCCAAACCAATCATCTCAATGTTCTTCCCCATTTTCCTAGTCTCCCTTGTTATTAAAAGTGGCCAGGAAACCTAATTCCAGGCAACAAGATTTACACAAAAGTGTGCGGTGGGGTATGGAGCTAATTGTTTCTGGGACAGCTTCCCTGATTAAAGGGGACTTTGGATGATAGCACACTTCTTTTTCCTCTTCCTCACCTTTTCTGCCTTAAACCTGGAGTCTGTCTGGAGCTGTGGCAGCCATCTTGCAATCACGAGGCAACAAGCCTCAGGACAAAAGCTGGCACACCAAGAATGGGGGACTGAAAAGATAAAACAGACCTGGCCGTGATGGCATTAGTAAGCAGGGGGACTAACACTGGCCTTGCCTCCCCACACATTCTATGGGCAAACCAAAGCCTCTGTTTAGGACCAGCTGTCATTGGTCTGGTATTCCATGTCTGGCAGCCAAATAAATGTGTTCAGCAACAGCCTCATCTAGAGAGCTCATTAGAATGCAAATAGCCAGGCTCACTCCCAGAAATTCCCTCCCAATATGTCTATGATCAGGCCTGGGAGCCAGCACAAGCATCCCAGGTCATTTTTATGCAGGCCATCCTCAAAATACCCTTAGACACAAAGTACTCTTGGAGCACACAAACGGTAGCAACGGGTGGGTAAAGAGAAGCAGTCTGCCAGGGTGACAGGAACAAACCACGTGTTTCCCAGAATTTTTGTTCCCCCCAACTGCCTTCTCAAACCTACCAAGTAACACCTGTTGTTCTTGAGTAGCAAACTTAGAATACAAGGAAAATAAAACCACTCCCACCAAGGATAAGGATGCCCTGATGGAAGGATGCTCTGATGCTTCTTAGGAAGGTCTGGTGTCTTCATCCATCTTCCCGCCTCACCTGGGTGTTGATTCCACAAGGTCATCTCCAGCATGTTGTGAATGTGACCACTCTGGAGAACATCAGCCTCACCCTATCCTCATTACAGCCAGCAGTCAGATCCTCTACCACCCAGCCCCAGAGGACGCCCAGCCTCAGTCCTTCCAGTGAAAGGCAGTAGCGTCTTGTTAGTTCAAGATGGGGGTCCCCAGGACATTGCAGCCCAACAACCCCGCTGCTTCGGCAGTGATTGTAGACCACATCCTGGCTGCCCCTTACAGAAAAGTAGGACCGGAACACCACTGGTAGGCATGGAAGAGCTGGGCTCCAGGGAGAGCGCAAGGAAGGGCCAAGAAGAAGCTGTGGGGAGACCAGAAGTCCAAAATGACACTTAGCCTCCACCAGTCACAGCTTGAGGTCCTTTCCTTGAGAAAAAGGAACAGACAAGCCCCAGCCCTGCAGAGCCATGGGCAGCACTGGAGTCCCCAGCAGTGCTGACAGAATGGCAGCCTCCTCGTTCCACCCAGACAGCCCCACTGGATCAGCTCCCTGGAGGTAGGGCCCAAGAATCTGCATTCTCTGCAAGTTGCCTACATGACCGCACCTAGACATTCCTCAGATTTGTTTGGGGGCTCATTTGTCCCCACTCCCCGTGACATTGGGGTCAGCCAGAGCTGCCTTTGAATTCCAGCTGGGACACTTCCTAAGCCTGTGGCTGTGAGATACTGTGGCATCCCTGACTAGGATTTGTGGACAATGGGATAATCATGGTACCTGCACTACCTACAGCCCTTAGGAGAATCAAATGAGACTGTAGACAAAGCGTACTTAACACAATGCTGCAAAGAAGCACAGAGAGCATTCAGCACGCGCTAATCACTTTTATGCCATTGATATCATCTGGGTGCCCCCATCCCACTGGCACCCCCTGTTTACCTAGGCTTCAAGATGATGAAATATGAAAAGTTCTGTTCTCTCAGCTAGCCTGTTCACAGAAAGGGTGATCTGAGAAAATAGTTCTGATTCAGATGTTAACGAGAGCCCTAGTTCCCCTGTTTTACACAAGGGAAGCAGCATTGTTTTGGATCCTAGCAGGAAGGGCTTGTCCAGGAGCTGTAGAGGAAGCCCTTGCTTAGCTCCGCACCTTCGGGACCTGCCCAGCCCCTAGGATGACAGTTCCTGGCAGCAGAGGAAGGGAAAGGGAGGCCCAGAAGGCCCTTCAAAGAAACCCCTCTTGAGATGCTGGAGGGGAGAGGACCTCAGGACAGCATGGGGTGTTCAGTGCTAGTAAGTCAACACGGCGATGCCTGCATCCCACAGCCAAGGCACCAGAAGTGGCATTTTCAGCAGGTCTGCAGTGGAAAAACAAGTGGGATGATGGAAAGAAAACAGGGCCCACTTAGCACTTCTCAAAATTCCCTAGATGTAGGTGATCTGCCTGAATACAACTTTCTTTAAACCCATATATTTGTCTTGTAGTAAAAATGGGCATTCAAGGTATCAAAAATGAGTATATTCTTGGGTTATATACTAGCAAAATTCAATGAGACTTGAATTAGAAAGTGCTCAATGGATGTCCAGATGGGGTGTATACAGCCTGGACAAATGACCTAGACAAAGAAGAGGAGACACCTCTGGCTGGAGGTTGGCAGTCAGCCGCTGTCTTCCCAGCTGTGGGGCCTGAAGCCTGGGCTGAGGCATCTAGACACAGGCAGGTGGCCTGCTCCCCAGGCCCCACCTGCTCTCCCCTGCAGCCCCTGCAGCATCACTCCAGACCTTGAGCAGGCCTGCCTCACCCCCACCCACAGCACATAGAATGTCTTCAATTCCTAGGCAAACTCAGTTGGATGAGTTCAGGGCACCATGACACCTTTGAAACAGTGGACATATGTTTGCAAAGGGGTCCCCCCCACCCACACATGGGCAAGGTTGTTTAATGATGTTGGCTGAGGAACCATTTGGGTCTGAAGGATCGCAGCAAAGTGCATTGGCTGAGTCACTTTTGAAGTAGCTCCTTACTGAGAACACACCACAGAGGCTGCTCAGATTTTCATAGGCTTTTGAAGCTAGTAGAGAAAAGACTTTGGAGCAGCATAGAAATCGTAGAAATCCAACCCAAACTTCAGGAAACGCCACTGAGGACAGAAGGTGTTTCTTTCATTTTTCGCGAGTGGTATCACAATTTCTAAATTCAACCTGTGCCTATGCACACGTTGTAAGTGCTGAGATTGCACCGCAGGATGAGAACAGTTTCCTTCCTGAAAGATCTACAAGCTCTCTGGGGTATCCGGTTCGTGGGTGTGGGCTGGAGTGGGAAGGACCCTGCCGGAAGCTGGGCACATGGAGGTTTTGGCAGGAGGGTCCTGACTCAGCCTGACCCTTGACCGCCACAGGGCCCGGCCCGGTGAAGCAGAGTGGGCTTATTCATGATTGATTAGTTTAATGATTTAATGATTATTGATTAATTGATATAATGATTATCAATGGTTTGACTGATGGGTTTAGTGATTATTCATGATTGATTTGTTCTTGTTTTAAGGTAGGTGAAATAGTTTCATAACTAGATAGCATTTCATTTATTTCAACGGAGACATTTAATAACCACACACCCGCCACTGCACTCCAGTATGGGCAAGAGTGCCAGACTCCGCCTCAAAAAAAAAAAAAATAAAAAAAATAACCACACACCCAAATGGAGATGAATCTATTCCCCTTTTTAACGGTCTCAGTAAAACAACTCTTTCTCCATCACGGCCCTTACAAAGATCACTCCCAGATCTTCACTGCCAATCCAGATCTCAAATCTCCATGAAGCTTCCCCACCAGCACCTGCTACACCACAACTGGGCTAGGCTAGGCGCCAACCTCCACCCAACCAGCTGCTCGTTCTGTGTGCCACCACCTCCCACCACCCATGCCATCCCGGGCTGCCCAGCCCAAACCAGCCTCTCCTTTCCTCTCGTGGCTCATATTCCTCAGCCAGTGTCAGACTGTACACATCCTTCAGTACCCCCATTGTCCATCAAAATAAGTCTAACGTCCTTGCCTACATACCCAAGACCCTTCCTCACACAGTCTGACTGATGGTCTTCCCAGCCTTTTCTCCCCCAGAGGCTCTGTACATGGCCGGTGAACTGGCCCCATCAGAACTCAGCATCCCAGCCAGCCCCATGCCGATGGACCACGTCTTTGGACAAGCAATGGCATCTTCTTGCAAAACTTTCCATTCCCCATTGCCCCTGGCCCAGAATCTCTCCAGCCTGCAGGAGTCCATTAAAATCCTTCTTCCTTATCCTGTCTTTTCAGATCTACCCATCCAGGAGCAACGTTTGTTTTCCTTGGAATCTACTCATGCCTCTCACCTCTACGATGACACCATCCTCCCTCTACCTCACCCACTTGTTCAACCACCCAGCAGCTGCCACCTGCCATGCACTATGAGTTCATCCGATTGGGCCATGAGTCTCTGGAGTACAGACACTGTGACTTATCCCTCATTACACTTCTCGGGCCTGGCTCAGTGCCTGACTTACAATAGGCTTCCCAAACCGCTAGATTAATATTAAGTTGACTACAGGAGCAGTTGTGTTTAGCAAGAGTGCTTTTCAAAACATCATGTTTATCAGAATAACTCTGGTCATCGTTTCCATTTCATATTTCTGCTGTAAAGTCTCAACTAAAAGGTGGAAGCCCTTGCCATTCGGAATGCATTATTCCCTTTGGAGAAACCTAGATGGTGGGGAGTTCCTCCTGGCTGGTTGTCACCACCTTCTGCCCTGGGCGCCCCTGCCTCCAGCCCCCAGGGCTTGCTTCTCCACCACTGCAGGCAGTTCTTAGCCTCTGGGCCTGGAAGCTGGGCTGAGGCCAGCCCTGCAGGCAGCGAGGCAAGCCCACCCATTTTGCATCTGTGCAAACCCAGGTGCTAGCAGCAATATTCATCTTAATTTTCTCTTTAAACCCTTGAGTTGCATTATAGCTTCCATTGTGCTGGTGACAGACAAATGCCTTGCAATAAATCAAAGTTAGAGTGACTGATACACTAAACACCTTTGCTTAATGATGTGATTGTTTCTTATCTGCAAAGTAATGTCACTTATGGCTTTGCTATTTATAGTCAATGTAGTGTTAGACCATTTTATGCCCCTGAAGCCTCTGTGGCCAGCCCATTAGCTGTGATTATGGACCAAAAGGGGATACAGCCTCCGAAAGATTGGCGAGAGAAGCCTTCAGAGTGTTCAAGTCATCTCTACCCATGAAAGCCCGGCTCCTCATCCTGAGACTGCCTGCAGTTTGTTGCAGGCACAGGTGAGTAAATAAGACACTGGCTGATAAATCCTGTTTGTGCTCCACTTGTATTAGTACTGAGCATCTTCAGGGCGGCAAGATACATATGAAATGTTAAAAAAAAAAAAAAAAAAAAGGACAAGGGGCTGCTTCTCTCTCTGGCTCAGCCTCCAGCCCAGCAGGGCTCGGACGGGGGGTATGGAGAATGTGGGAGGACAGAGCCTTTGCAAGCAAGTCTCCTGTTGGGCTGGCCCAGGCTCTGCTATTCATTCATTATTTGCTAAGCTATTTGCCCAAACTATTCTCTTTGAACAGGGTGTCGGTGGGGAGAGCAGACTTCGCCCGGGTCTCCCTGTTCTGCTCTGTCCCCGTGGTGTGAGAGTTGCCGCCAGCTTCAAAGGCGGCCCCCAGGGTGGGACCAGGGTCTGGGCTCCTGGGCGGCTGCCTGCTCCTCCTGTGCCAGGCTCCCAGCCCCGAGCTTCTGCACAGGCCCTGCAACTCCCCCTCCCCCAGTCTCTGGGCTCCAAATAGCCTCGAGGAGCAGGACTCAGAGTGGCTGGCTACCTGGGGAGAAGGAGCAGGACAGCAGCACTGTAGAAATCCCTCTACAATGTTGGACACCTGGGGGGCAGCTGTGGCCATTCAAAACTGTGCCAGGGCGGGTCTTTCCCATGGCCCAAGGATCCCACTGCCTCAGGAACAACACTTTCATTGGACAAGTAGTGGCTCTGCTGGGTAGAACTGGGTTCTCCAAAAACATATGCTCAAGTCGTAGGCCTGGTACCTGTGAATGGGACTTTATTTGGAAATAGAACCTTTGCAAAGGCAATCAAGATAAGAGAAAATCATACTGGATTAGGAAGGGCCCTAGTCCAGTGACTAGTGTCCTTATGAAAAGAGGGAGATTGGGGACACAGACTCAGGGGAAAACACCATGTGAAGAAATACATAGGAGGACAGCCTCACGCTGACAGACGCAGAGATTGGGGTGATGCCTCTACAAGCTGAGGGATGCGAGGACTGTCGGAAGACACCCGAACCAGGAGAGAGGCGTGGGGTGGGCTTTCTCTTGGAGCCTCTAGAAGGAACAACCCTGCCAACACCTTGATTTCAGACTGCTGGCCTCCAGACCTCTGAGAAAATGCACTTTGGTTGTTTTAGGCCACAAGCTTTGTGACAATTTGTGATGGCAGCCACAGGAAACTAATATGGAACCAAATGATTTGCTGAGCCCTCAACAGATGCCAGGGTAGGCCCTTTGCTGGGAGTAAAGCGACCCGCTCCCGGGCTGCCCACTTGGTTCTTGGGGGCTCCTCTCTGAGCTGGAACGAGGGCATCAGAACACAGAGGGTTAAAGCGTTGTCTGTAGATAAACAACCTCATGCACATTGCATGCTGTGCGTGTATATTTATGTTGCTTATGTTTTATGCCTCCATCCTCAACTCCTCCTGTATACCACGCCATTAATTTTCCTTTGGTGTTTTGAAAAGAATGAACTCTGTGTTTCCCTCAGCTGAACATTACCAACCAATGGCACATTCAACCCGTCTAGCCTAGCACATTTTCCTGAGCCAGCAAGGAGTTGGGCTCATCTCTTGCCTTCGTTCCCTAAGTCATGGCGGACTTTGGGCATGGAGCTTGGTAAGTGGATGATATTAATCATGCGTTCAGCATTCATTTGTGGAATCTTTTGCAATTTTCCACGTGCTTTTGCACTGTATGAGTCAGGATGCATCTGAAGGCAAGATACAGGAACCCAGCTAAAAGTGGCACGACTGCCCTGCCCAGAAAGAACTGGTTGAAGTGTCCCAGCAATGGCTCAGTCATGAGCCCAGTGACACCCACAAGGACCCTGGCACCTTCCATCCTTCCATCTAGCATCCTCAGGGGGATGTACTAGGCTTGGCTCTCTGCAATCCTCGTGTGGCTGAAGACAGAGAAGGAGAGGAGGAGGTAAAAAGAGATAGAAGACGAAAGAGAGAGGAGGAAAAAGTGTCTTTTAGGAAGCCGGCCAACCTTGACGGTTGCACACATATTTCATTTTAACTTAGAGATCATCATTTCGCAATAAATACCACTTTATAAATGTTTAAATACAATTTAAGGAGATAAAGCAGAGGCTCATTAGCCACTTGGTAACAGATGCGGAAATATCAAAATGATCATTACCAAAATTATCAAAAAACAAACAAACCAAAAACCCAGCATGGCTTCAGGGGCAGGGCTGAGAAGCATCTTTTGTTAGCAACTACCTCAGTGAGTCAGAGGGGACCTACCGCCGGATGGCTACAACAGACGTTCAGGAATGGGTTAAAGCAAGCAGGGACAAACATTGGCTCAATGTGCTTTCGTATCACTTAAAAGAAGAAATCTATAGTGCTTTTATATCCCCTCTTACGAAAATCACAAATGCTATGAACTGTTAAACCTTTAAACCAAATGTGATGTTTCAGAGTTCTGACACTAACAGGAACATTTTAATTAAAAAGTAAGCTGGTGGGAAGGCTTGTAAAATTCTGTGAAGTAAAAAAGATGTTTTAAACATGTAGGGACCCTTTGGGGGTAGAAAAAAGGGATTTTGCAGTAGTAATAGCTCTATTCCATTTTAATATTTTTGAATGTAGAGGTGTTTTTTAATCCTGTTCTAGAGAAAGCAAGACTTATCCTGATTATGTAGCAGTAACAAATGGTGAGGGAAGCGCTGTAAACACTACTCTAGCATGCTTTTTATTTTTTGGTGATATCTTTCCGCTTCTGGTTGAAACTAGGAATAAATTAAATATGATTGCATGGGACTGCTTTATGCTTACTCAAGAGTGCTTGCCGTTGACGTCGATCCAGTAACAAACCTATTTTTCAAAGGGGGATGCTGGGGCTTGTGTTCATTCTCTAAGTATCCTCAGTGCTAAGCTTATCATTAGGGTCCTTTTTGCAGTTCAGACGGAAATTAGCAAGTGTTATTAAAGAGTTTCAGTTATGTGGCTAAGAAATGGCTCCCTTTAGAATGGATGCTCTTTATTCAAACTTTCAATGTCAGTTATCATTGTTAAAGCAGCTTGACCTGGAAGCATGCAGCTAAAATTGTGGGAACTGTTAATGACAGTTTTATTGGACACTCTGCTTATGGTTCACATTTTGAGGTCTGTATATAATTGATCTTTCTCCCCTACATGAGAAACACAGCAATAAGCTGGTTGCAGCACCACATTATAGATATAGAGAAATAATAATGATGTCACCTTGAGATTCAAAGATCGTGGAATAGTAATAGTCTCCTAGCTCATTTCTCCCAACTGTGATGACCTCTCCAATACTAAATCTTAACAGTCTCAGCATTATTTTTGAATTATTCATGCTAGCCTTTTCCCTCACTACAAAATCAAGGAAAACGAATGCATCATGCTCTGTCAGCTCCACAGGTATTTTGGTAAAAATATAAAATGTTATTTGGCATCACAAAAAAGGGGCGATACAGTAGTAATACAGTGATGCAAGTGGCATGCTTACCTCATACAGAAACACACGAACATCCATTCGTAGAAAATAAGAGCAGGTGCATTTCCCCCATCAATTGTGAATTGATCGTTGGCTAATCATGTTGGGGTTAGCTGGATCATGAGAAGTCTATGGCTTTAAATAAAAAGTGCATAATAGGATTAGACTCTATCATCAATCCACCCCCCAAATTACACTAATAAGTAATGTCTAGAAATGTGTGCACTCTCTGCGATGGCCAGTTTTAGCCAACATTAAACCTAAGGCTGTTGCTTTTGAAATATCAAATCAGCATATATTTCTTATTTTAATTCAAATTATGTAGAGATAGCAGCTTGACAACTCTCCTACTTTAGCCAGCCTAGAGAATATGGGAGCGCTACAGTTTTATTCTAGTGATGGATCTCATAAAAAGTGCATGTGGGAATAAAATAAAATGCATGTAAATGTAAACTCAGGCAGGTACTCTGATCCATCTGTAGCCCGTGACCTTTAAGTTCATGATGAAAAACAAATGTCAAGCTTTCAGAAGACAGGAGTATCCCTGGCTTGGCTGGGGTGGTGTGTGCTGTTGCGCAGACTGTATTAATTTAGGATGGCATCAATAACCTTGAAATCAGGATTTTGCACTAAAAACCCAGGTTTATGTTTATTCAGAATTCAAAGAAAAAAGGCAACTTTATTTAAAGAGGCCCTTCAGCGGCGAGTGGGCAATTGTCGTTCACCACTCTAGATTTTTGGAGCTGCTGCCGGCTTCCATGGCAACAGATGCTTAAGACTATGAGGACCCAGAGATGTTTCTTAAAGAGTCTTTTTATTCTGCATATAATGCTAATTATAGATGTGCTCTGCTCATTCGGCTAAGTAGGCCACACCTTGAGAGAAACTGTGGTCAGTCAAGCCTGTGCCTCCACCAAAATGCCGTGGATTCCTTGGGGACTGAGATGAAGTGCCGTTTTGTTGTGCAATGTAGGCTTATTTCTGAATGCATTTTTTTTTTTCCTGTTAAAGAAAGAAACAGTCAAAGAAATCACTCGTTCCCATCGCTGGACTCTAGGCACAAGTGATTTGGCTGTAAGTCATGCCTGGCTGAGCAAGCTCTCCACCACCCCCTCTTCTGATGAGAGAGCCCATGGTCATGTACTTGTACTTGCCGTGATGAGATTAATAGCAGGTCTGGTGGAGTCACACAGCGTCTTCAAATCATGCAAGGCTGAATTATGCTCAGCACAGATTTCACGTTAAGTATGTTCCATTACATTCCAGTTCTTTAAAACTTGGTGTAATAGGGTTAATTGGTAAAAAAAAAAAAAAAAAAAAAGAGAGAGAAAGAGAGGAAGAGAAAGAGAATCTGAGCTTGTCTCCCCAAAGAAGAACAGCCAGACTCTGTTAGGGCTTGCCCAGGGAGAAGTTAAATGCTTCTTTTGATGTTTGAGAAATTGCCTTGAATTCAAGCCCCACCCATCCTTGTTTGGAAGAGCCCAGCAGCTGGGATGAGAGGCTGCCCCAAGAGGAGAAGAAAGGGCTTCACTTACATGGAACTGATGCAAGGGGAGTGGCTGTACCTCGGGCCCTTTTATGCGTGCAGGCTGGGGAAGGAAAGGATTTCAGAGGTGAGTAGCGGAGACCAGTCCCTGCTCCCCCACAGTGGTCTGCACATACGATGGCCAGAAACAATACAAAATGTTCAGACAATTGTGAATTTCAGTTAAACAATACACACAATCGTGGGGGCATATTTATACCAAAAAAAAAAAATCTTGTTGTTTGTTGGAAATTCATATTTAACTGGGCATCCTGAATTTTTATTTGCTAAATCTGGGGACAGTGAGAGACGATAGCCAGGGCTGAGATGGAGGTGGCTGCCTGAGGACCTGGGCCTGAACCTTGGCCTGACCCTAGTCAGGAAGGTCCTGGGTGAGTCTTCTCCCAATTTCTTGTCTGTCTCCACCCAAGTCACCTGACAAGCAAGTCCTAAACGTATCTTCATCCTCAGTGATTCCACTGCTCAAGACCAGGGACTGCCTGTCACTTAGCAGGCCAAACCTCCATTCTAGGGTCTAGCATGGGAGTCCTTCCTTGAAGGTAAGACCGAAAGAGCAGTAGCCATGGTCAGACCAGATGCCCTCCAGGGCTCTTTCCCTGCAATCTGCAAAACCTCAGCCAAGACGTTCATGCTCTCTGAGCCTTGAATACCCCATCAGGGTGGGGACCAGCCTAGGGTTGACCAAATGATCCCAAGTAAAACCAAAGCTACTTTGCTTTTACTCCCCACTGAAGAACATTTTTTTTGGCCCACTTTCACTTCTTTAATAAATGTTTATTAAGTATCAGCATATGCCAGGATACCTGAATGAATAAAGCAGACAAAAATCACTGCCCTTAGAGAGCTTGTATTTAAGTGGAAATGTTTAGAAAATACATGTAATGACTAAGTCAATGATAGAGGATTTTTGAGGATGAAATGAGCGTAGGAAAAACTTAGAGCATGTTCAGGTGGGTGGAGGTTCAGGGCAGGTTGCAGATGAGCAAGTGCAATTTGAAGCAGAGGGTCAAGGAGGGCCTCCCGAAGAAGGTGGGATTTGAGTCTCAAAGGCGGTAGGCAGGTTAGCAAAGGTGCTAAAGGGAACAGTGCTCAGGCAGCAGGAACAGTTGGAGCCCTGGGGGAAACATGTGACTGGCAGGGTTGGGAGAGGAGGAGAGATGTGGTCTGGGTGGTTGGAGGCTAGAGGCAGGGCGTGGAAGGCTCCCTGGACAAGGAACGGAGAGGAGTGGAGTCACAGAGAAGGCTCTGAGCAGAGAATGAAGAGGAGTGAGTCGCAGCCACTCACATGAGCAGGTGACAGATGAGGATGGAGGTGATGAGAGTCATGGGCGACTACATTTACCTGAAGCTCCAGCAAACAGGTTTCTCTGCCACACTGAATGAAGCACCAAAAAGAAAGCAAGGTGTCTTAGCCTGGCCTGGTGGCAGGCACCTGTAATCCCGGCTACTCAGGAGGCTGAGGCAAGAGAATAACCTTAACTCAGGAGGCAGAGGTTGCAGTGAGCGGAGATCACGCCATTGTACTCCAGCCTGGGCGACAGAGTGAGACTCTGTCTTCCAGCCCCCCCACCCCACACACAAAAAAAGTGAGGTGTCAAGGATGAGATGCATATTTGTCCTGCCCTTAGCACACATGGATCCTGGAGGGAGAACACAACCAGAAGCCCACAGACCAGGGGTCTAAATATTTCAAAAGAAGAAACTGAGTCAGCAAACTTTTAAATAAAATATTGGCTATCCTCCTGCTTTCATAATGATGAAACCAAAAAATATGTGGAAAGCTATTATTTTCATATGGCTGAAAGTTGGCAAAATCTCAGTGGCTGAATGTAATGCTTGTTGTACATGTCTGGAGGTTTTATTCATGGGCCAGCAATGCTTGAATAAGTCAAAAATAAAGACATCCTTAATTCATAAATGAGTATATACTTTTTCCATAAAATTTACTTTTCTTGCCTCTTTTCAGTATAATCAATAATTATGTTGTATGAGCAAGATTTTCACATAATTCATCTTTTAACATTAATGTGAAAAAGTGCCAAATTTTGAATGTATTTTGGTCAAAAATGTACATTAAGTCTGGCGCAGTGGCTCACAGCCATAATCCCAGCACTTTGAGAGGCCAAGGTGAGAAGTTTGCTTGAGACCAGGTGGGCAATAGTGCGAGACCTCATCTCTAAGAAATGTGTTTACAAAACTAGCCAGGCATGGTGGTGCATGCCTGTGGGCCTACCTACTCAAGAGGCAGAGGCTGAGGCAGGAAGATCACATGAGCTCAGGAGTTCAAGGCTGCAGTGAGCTATGGTCATCACACCACTGCACTTCAGCCTGGGTAACAGAGCGAGATCCTGTCTCTAAAAATTAACCAAAAAAAAGGAAATTAAATGTAAATTTAGAAAATAAATTTAAATAATTGTTGATATTTTCAAAAAGTATTGCCTCTAAAACATTCAAAATTAGCTGTTAAAAAGCAAAACACAAATTTTAATTATGGAAGTAACTTTAATCAAAGCTAATTTTTTAAAAAAAATCTTCGAAAATTTAATTAAATCACCTGAAATATTTAGGTAAAAATGAAACTATTTATGATTCTACTGAACACTGTAACCAGACCAACAAATGCTGTGTTGCTTATATTAAAAAACAGCAGGCCAGGTGTGGTGGCTCAAACCTGTAATCCCAACACTTTGGAGGCTGAGGCTGGAGGATCACTTGAGCCCAGGAGTTTGAGACCAGCTTGGGCAATATAGGGAGACCCCATTTCTATAAAAAATTTTAAAAAAGAATTAGCTGGGGCTGTGATTGTGCCACTGCACTTCAGTCTGGGTAACAGAGCGAGACCCTGTCAGAAAGAAAGGAAAGAAAAGAAAGGGAAGAAAGGGAAGAACAGAAGGAAGGAAGGAAGGAAGGAAGGAAGGAAGGAAGGAAGGAAGGAAGGAAGGGAGGGAGGGAGGGAGGGAGGGAGGGAGGGAGGGAGGGAGGGAGCAATGAAGGAAGGAAGGGAGGGAGGAATGGAGGGAGGGAGAGAGGGAGAGAAGGAGAGAGGGAGAGGGAGGAAGGGAGGGAGGGGAGAGAGAAAGAAGGAAGGAAGGAAGGGTATCTCACTTTATGTAGGTTATAACTAGACCTACATTTATGCAAACTTGAGACTACGCATTGCTTAATATTGTCAACCATGGTTCCTCAGCAACCACATGCAATTGTTGTGGACCCCGTGCTCACCAGAGCAGCTCTGGAATCACACATTGGATCATGAAGACAAGTAAGAAAATGGACACTAGGCAATTCTGGGAAGTGATACTTCATTATACAAGAATCTATTTTAACCCTGCTTAAAAGAAGGGTGTGAGAAGTTAATACGTTTGACTTTGCTCTTCCCTACTCAGGTCCCCCTTACATACAGAGGCAGCATCTGTCTCCCACGGAGCAGCTCCACCACAAACCTCTGTGGTACTGAGATAGTGGCACAGGGCAGGTGATTTGTCTGTGTAGGGGGGCTTGGGGGGGTGTTCCCAGGGCCCAGGTATCATCAGAATCCAGAGCAAATGTTTCAGGGTCCTGCCTTGCCAGCACCAAGCCCTGCTTCATGACGACTTAGAAACCCGTATGTTCTTGCCTAAATGGCATGTGTATGTGTGTGCACATACGCCTGCAGTAAGAGGGACCCTGTAGGGAAGGCGTCCCCCTGAGAGCCTCTCACTTTGGGCAAAGTCTAAGGGCAGTGGCCCCTGGAAGAATGGACTTGCCATCCTCTAGATGGGGACGCCGTGGGTGAAGTAGCTTTGGGTGGGGATGTACAGATCAGGAATTCAGATGTGGAAATGTTGACTTTGAGGTGTCTTTTGGTTATCCAGAGGAAAGTAGGCAGGCAGCTGTATAAAGGAGTCTGGATTTTGAGACAGAAATCTCAGCAGGAGATAACAGATCTGTGAGTCATTAGTGGGTGGATGTCCTATGATGCCTTCTGCCTGGAAGATACCACAAATGGATGAGTGTGATGTGAAACAGAGAGTCCAGGGGCTGGATCCTAGGGCACGAAACCCAAAGGCTGAGGACAACACCCATTAGGATAAATACTAACAACAACAACAAAAAAACAGTAAACGACAAGTGTTGGCAAGGATGTGGAAAAATTGGAACTCTTGTGCATGGCTGGTGGGAACGTAAAACAGTGCAGCTGCTACAGAAAACATTATGGCAGTCTGGGCATGGTGGTTCATGCCTGTAATCCCAGCACTCTGGGAGGCGGAGGCAGGCAGATCACCTGAGATCAGGAGATCGAGACCAACCTGGCTAACATGGTGAAACCTTGTCTCTACTAAAAATACAAAAATTAGCCAGGCATGGTGGCACACGCCTGTAGTCCCAGCTACTCGGGAGGCTGAGGCAGGAGAACCGCTTGAGCCCAGGAGGCAGAGGTTGCAGTGAACCGAGATCATGCCTGGGTGACAGAGTGAGACTCTGTCTCAAAAAAAAAAAGAAAACATGACAGCAGTTTCTCCAAAAATTGATTATATGATCACCATATGATTCAGCAATGCCACTTCTGGGTATATATACAAAAGAACTGAAAGCAAGAACTCAAACAGATATTTGCGCATTCATGTTTACAGCAGCATTATTTGCAATAGTCAAAAGATGGAAACAATCCAAGCATCTGCTGATGCATGAGTGGATGCACAAACTGACACATCCACACAGTAGGATATTATTCCACCTCACAAAGGAAAATGACACATGTGACAATATAGAAGAACCTAGAAGACATGCTAAGTGATATTCTCCAGACACAAAGGGACAAATACGGTATGATTCCACCAAATGAAGTCCCTCGCCATCAAATTCGTAAAGTCAGAAAGTCGAAGAGTGATCGCCAGGGGCTGGGGAGAAGGGGAATGGGGAGTTATGGTTTAATGGGGACAGACTTTCCATTTTGCAAGATGAAAAAGGTCTGGAGATGGATGGTGGTGGTGGCTGCACAACATTGTGAATGTGATGAATATCACTGAACTACACACTTAGAAATGGCTAAGATGGTAAATTTCATGTTATGTATATTTTACCACAATTTATATGTTAAAATAGAGAGAGAAAGAGATTTTAAAAAGGGTTGAAAGAGTTGAAGAGTCGGGGACAAGGTCAGGGACAATTGACAAGGACAGAGAAGGAGGAACCAGCATCAGTGTGACTCTGGCCAAAGTCACGCTCCTCCCTGCAGGCCTGCAGCTCCCTGTCCAGCTCAGAAAGTCTCATGGCATGTTGCACCAAGCGGATGTTACTCCTGGTCATTGTCATTCCTTGAATGTCCTCCGACTTTGGACTTTGGATCTCAGTCACTGTCCACTGCACTCACTCTTTCCACCTCAGTCAATAAGTCACTCTTCCTTTAACCCACTCACTCATCATTTCAATACTTGTGTGCAAAGAATTCTAAACTTCACTCTCTTGTGCGTTCCTAATATGTTCAGTTTTGTCACCTCCTCCCTGCCACCCAAATGGCAGATTATTTCTTTTCAAAATGAATGGTGCATGAATGAATGAATGAGGTGGTCCATGAATAAGGAAGTGTCTTCGTTTTGCTCTTCTCAAGTCTGCTTTTGACACTATCATGCCCATGGTTGGGGCTTGCCCTGTAGAAGGAAGAGCAGAAGGACATGGGAGAAGAGAACAAGAGTGCTAGTTAGTAGATGTGGGGTCTTGCTCAGAAATAATAAGTAGAGTGAGTGTTTCTCAGGAGGTTAATGCACCACACATTTCAGTATCTGAATGGCAGCTCTTATTTAAGACTATATAGATGTGAGGAAAATGAATGCCTGCCTTAGTTCTCTTCAGAGATTGTCAATGAATCTATGTGTGGCATCTCTAGACCCACGGGGACATCTTTAAGACATAGTCCAAGAGCTGAATTTTAACACGGGGTCTCAGGTTGCATGGTCTGAGTTAAACACAGGGGAGGAGTGGGTTAAAATGGTTAACACATTTGTGAAATGATCCTCAATGCTTTTAAGTACCAGCATGTTGTGGTATATATTACGTGTCAACTTGACTGGGCCACAGGTTGCCCAGATATTTGGTTAAACATTATTCTGGGTGTGTCTGCAAGGGTGTTTCTGGATGAGAAATACTCAAATTTATACACTGAGTCAAGAAGATTGCCCTCCCCAATGTGGGTCAGCCCCTTTCGATCCACTGAGGGCCTGAATGGAAAATTAAAAAGACTGAGTTCTCTCTGCCTGGCTGTCCTTGAGCTGGGCTGTTGGTCTTCTCCTGCTTTCAGATTTGGACTTGGACTAGAACCACATCACCAGCTCTCCTGGATCTCACACCCATAAACTCAGACTGGAACTTACACTATCAGCTCTCCTGGGTCTCCAGCTTGCCACCTGCGGACCTTGGGACTTCTCAGCCTCTGTAATTGCAGGAGCCTATTCCTTATAAGAAGACATAAATCTCATTATATACATATTATTATATATACATACAGTCATGTGCCATGACATTTCAGGTAATGAGGCACCTCACATACAACAGTGATTCCATAAGAGCATAATGAAGCTGAAATGTTCCTATTGCTGAGTGATGTTATAGCTTGTCACAATGTCACAGCATAAGCACTTTATTTTTGAAATCAATGTAGTGTAGCCTGAGTGTACAATGTCTATAGGCCTACAGTAGTGTGCAGTCCCGTCCTAGGCCTTCACATTCACTCACCACTCACTCACTGACTCACTCAGAGCAACTTCCTGTCTTGCAAGCTTCATTCATGGTTAAACTCCCTATACAGGTGTCTTATTTTTTATCTTTCATGCTGTATTTCTACTGTACCTTTTCTATGTTTAGATACACAAATACTTATCACTGTGTTACAGCCGCCTACTGTATTCAGTACAGTCCCATGCTGTACAGGTCTGCAGGCTGGGAGCAATAGGCTGTACCACACAGGCTTGGTGTGGAGTAGGCTACACTAGGTGAGTGTAAATGCACTATGATGTTTGCACAAGGATGAAATCACCTAACAACCCATTCCTCAGAATGTATCCGTTAGTAAGCAATGCATGACTGTACACACCACACACACACACACACACACACACACACACACAATTACAGGATATATAGATATAAGAGAACCAATAGGATATATATTATTTTTCTGGAGAACTCAGACTCATACACAGCATAACTGGTGGAGGTTTTATGTTGTCGTTGTGGTTGGCATTAATTCCCCAGTTATCATAATGTATGGAATTTTGATGGAGAAAAAAGTGCCCGATGCCCTCTGTGACCATGTCCTAGCACCTTTTAAACCAAGGAGCTGCTTGCACCAACATGACTCCAACGCTTCACAGAGCATGTTCACTGCCCAGGGACTCACATCCACATGGTCAAGGTGGTGTCAGGCTGGCAAAGCAAAATCATTGCTATTTGACTTTCAACTGTGAAATTTTGCAGTCATATTATGAGTCATTCCCCTTCACAATTGTCTGGCTTACAAACTCCTGGGAAGGTGAGAATGATTTAGACTTTATGGGGAGTATGCTAGGTTAATCATAAGAACTGGGCTGCTGTGAAGGCCGGTGGGGCATTGACAGATGGTGTTCGCTTCTCCCTTTCTGATTGTCCTTATTTGCAGCCTGACATTTCTAAAAAATAGATTTGCTTGGAGTTTTTGCACATTTACGAAATCCATTTGAAAACTTGATGGTTGGAGAATGGAAATGATTTTATGGTTGGGAAAGATTGTCCACAGATGTCTTAAAAGGTAATGGAATGGTTGCTAATTCTGCCTTCAGCAAGAGCCACAACGTCCTCCTATTAAATAAGCCAGCCCAGTTTAAGAAGAATTAGATGAAATCAAAATATAGGATCCACATCTGCCCATACATGGCAGCTTTTAATCTGCACGGGCGTTAGAAGTGGCGCAGTGACGGGAGGACCAGCTCCAGGGAAAATCCTCCTGCTGCCTGGTGGAACTGCCATTTTCAAATGGAGTCCTGACTTAAAAAAAAAAATTTAAAAATTAATTAGCAAAGGTCAATAATTACTGTATTACCATAGCTATAATGTACAATTTTTTGGCCCATACATTTGGGGAAGGAAAATGCATTTGATAAACAATAGCCATTCTCGGCCGGGCGCAGTGGCTCAAGCCTGTAATCCCAGCACTTTGGGAGGCCGAGACGGGCGGATCACGAGGTCAGGAGATCGAGACCATCCTGGCTAACACGGTGAAACCCCGTCTCTACTACAAAATACAAAAAAACTAGCCGGGCGAGGTGGCGGGCGCCTGTAGTTCCAGCTACTCGGGAGGCTGAGGCAGGAGAATGGCATAAACCTGGGAGACAGAGCTTGCAGTGAGCTGAGATCCGGCCACTGTACTCCAGCCTGGGTGACAGAGCGAGACTCTGTCTCAAAAAAAAAAATAAAAATAAAAATAAAAATAAACAATAGCCATTCTCTGAAGCCTTTCCTCGGAAGGTTTTCCTAGCTAGTTGGAGTGAGGTGGCCATTGCCATGTTTCCTGTGTTTTGTAGAGCCAGTCCTATCCATCTTTCACAGCTAGAAAACCTGGAGTGATCTCCCACATCCTTCTTAGGCTCAAGAACCTGCGCTGGCTCACTATTAACCACTGCATCGAGTTCAAACACTTTCTTGACTTCCCGATCCCTGCAGGTGCCCCTCTGGCATCTCCACTTTCAACTTAGTCTGATTTTCCACTCCTCCACTCCTTCCTGAGTCCCACCCTAGTTCCCCCTCTGCTCCATGTTGAGTCCTGATTCTTCCAGGATGCCTTCCCCAGCCATCCCAGCCCATGGAGTTTAATTCTCAGTTCCATTTTAGATTTATCTTTGCATTGTTTCATGGGTTCCTTCTTTCATGTTTTCATTTGTCTGACAGATGTTTATTCAGCACCTTCTAGCTGCAGAAATAATTGCACACCAGTGTAATGTCTGGAAAAAAAAAAAAAAAGACTTGCATTGGGGGCCAATGATAGGGGTTGCATAGTGCAGCCACGATGCTGGTGACATTTCACAAAGACCTGGCTCTCCAGGGGAAGGGCGGTTTCCATGAGATGCAAAATAGGCCACTACATACCAGGTCTGGAGGTCAGGAGAGAGGTGAGCACTGGCTTTTGAAGTTATTATGAGAGAAATCAATGATTGATATTAAAGCATTTGAACAACTCTAAAGCACTACATGAGGGTTATAAGATTCTACACCTAGTGCTATGTAATCCTTTCCAAAGGAAGCTAACGATTTGAACTCCTGCTGTGGTTAGGGGTTACTGTGGTAGGCATTTCCATTGACATTATCACAGTCAATTGCAAGCCTTCCTGGTAAGTCAGGTATTATCATCTCCATTTCACAGACAATAAAACTGAGGCTCTGTATAGCTAAGAAACGTGCTAAGGCCACAGAGCTAGGACATGACGGAGCTAGGATGACTCCAGGTTCATCTTTGGAGTTCCTCCTGGGGTGCAATGAGTCTTCTCGCGTCGTGCCACCAAAACAAACTGAGGAATTTAATCATTTAAAGGTTATTTTTGGCTCCATAACAAATGCAAGTTGAGGTCTGTTGGCAGAGTCTGGCTCAAAGGAAGCTACAATTCATCAGTTCCAATCACTGAACAAAGAGTTCAGGGACAGCCTGAAAACACTGGATGCTGCTATTGACCCTGGGTGGAGAGGGAGTGGGAAACACGCCTGGAAAAATTGGCATTTGGTTGCTAATTAAAACATTTTTAAAGATCTTATTATCAAAATACCTATTGAGGTGGACATTCAAATCATTTTACTTACGGCTTATGGATCACATTGCTTAAGAACGGAGTAAAACGTGGATGCACGAACATTTTGTGAAAGTGTCATCATTAAACTGCGTCAGATGATGTGTCCATTGTTTTCATTTCTCTGTTATTAAGGGTTTAGGGGAAAAAATTTTAAAAAGAATTTTAAATAAACTCCCAAACCTTCAGTTTCCAAAATGAGATTTAGAAGTTTTGTCTTGGTAAATACATACTTTGCAGCAATTATTGGATCATTTTGATTTCTGGGGACATGATTTAGAAGAACTGCATTTGTGGAAAGCGCGTGTTTAACACCTTTGTGGTTTGAGGGTCCCCTCATCTTTCTTCATTTTCCCTGCTCTCTTGTCTTTGTGCTGATTTTTCATCAAACCCAGTGGCACAGGAACCAGAGCCCGCTCCCATCACTCTCCGGGTGCTTCTGTCTCTAAGTGCCCGTTTTTTCTTCTGAACATCATGATGTCATCTATCAAACTTCTAAACAGGTTCGCACTTTGCCTTCTAAGGCTGAGTCTTGGTGCTTCATTTTCCACAGCAATCCCAGAATTAGAGAACAATTAATGATGTCCGCTTACCGGCATCATTTTCGAAATAGTTTCTGTTACTGAGAATCTTTGCAGGAGAACGACAAAGGTGCAAACACAGACCTTTTCTCAATAAGCTTCAGAACCAGGATAGGCCTTTTGATAAATGCTTTCTGGTAGTTGTCTTTAAGGGGCTAATTTTTCAAGCTTAAAGAGGGAGAGAGAGAGAAAGATCTTCAATTTTCCAGGTAACTAATGACTTAAATGGAAGAAAATGAATAATTTAATAAAAAATATTTTGGCATGTCTTAAGTCATGTACATTTGGTTCCTGTACCAGGTCCCTCCCTCCGTGATGAGCAAAGGTATTTTCATTTGGCAGATTAGGCTATTTTTGAATTCTACTTATTATACTAAATTGAACGCCATATTATGAAATCCATTTCAACTTTTATGGACATCCCTGCCTCCTCCAGGGGCTTCTTTGGGCATTTGGTTTATTGGGGAAGAGTCATTTATTCCCTGCAACGATGCCCACGGTGCTGGCACATTACAGCAAAGAAAATAAGCCACAAAATTCAAGTTCTTATTGCAGACTAGTATCAACTTACATGATTTTTTAAAATAATGGAAAACGTTAGAATACGACATCCTAGGGAAGGATAGAAGATTCTTGCATATCTAATCAAAATGTTATCATCCCCGAAACATATTCATCATATGACCTTTGTCAGCTGCTTCATAGTAAAGAAATCCCTTCAAAAAGGCAGAAGTTTCAAACGGAGCTTTACGGGCTGGAAGAAATTCACAGAAAAGAAATTGCATTTTCAACCAGAGAGCCTCAGTGCTAAGGCTGCACTGGGGAGATCACTATGACCCTCTTGCCGTTGTCTTAAACTGTCAAAGTTTGACTCCTCTTGGATTTTTGAACAATTCAAAAAAGATCCTTTCATAAACAGTTTCATAAACTACGACATATCTAATTCCTGGGCTTTGAACGCGGAGCTGAGTACAGCACAGGGAGCCTACTGAGAATTTCTCCTGAAACCATAAAGCAATCTAGGAGGTGAGTTACCACGCTGTTGACACAGGGAATGGAAATGGAAATTCTCTGGGAGTCTCTTCCGCCCCGAGTTCTACGCGCTGCTTTGCCTGATACTTGTTGATTGGTGTCGTATATCTTGGTGTTAGTATCCCATTTCAGAAATGTTCTGACATTATCTATTTGGAAGTTCGAAACACAGTGTAAAACTCCCAGTGCATTTGAGCACAGGTTTCAGTACAGCAATCACAATGCCCATTTCCACTGATGCAAGATGCAGGTTTGAACCACATTCCAATAGACTCCATTCCTAAGTCGATAGAAATCTGAAAGTCTTTCTGTGGCTAGCAGGGTTAGGAGGGGCTGACTCCTTCCTTCCCGAACACCACCTCATTCCTCTTATCAACTCTCCCTAGTGCTCGGCAACCAGGGGGCTGTGGCTGTGGAATATGTATGAAGAACAAATGATCAGGAAAAATGAGGTGGAAAAAATTTTTTAGATAGCAGAACTGAAAGGAAATGAAACAATGAGGATTTGAAAAATGCAATTGAATACAGGTTTAACCATTAAAAATGATTGCACGTCTCTAAAAGAGAGTAGAAATAAAATGGCTGGAATGTGTTTACTTTTTTAAAGATTCAGGCTCAGTTCACAAATGGCAAAACACATTGAATCAAAACTGACCTTTTGCATTACTAGAATCTAGAGATTTTATTCATCTAAGAACCCACCGTACTTTGGAATTAGCCCGTGGACTTACTAGCATGGGGTGACCAGAAAAACTGTTAGATTGCTGATCCTAAAATCACCTTTAAATGCATATTTAGACTTCTTCCAATTTATTTTTATCACACAAGCATGGGTAGATGCCAAGGAGAATCCTCAGTTACTATGTCTAGCTTGTTAATAATCAAGTTATATTTTTCCAGTCATTGGCATTTTCAAATGCTGCAAACGAAAATCAAATTTGCAAATGTGACACATTCAGGGAAACTGTATCTACTATTTCCTTCTCAGACAAAGAAAGACAAGTTTTTAATCAGCAGTCAACTCTGCAGTCTTTGGAGTTGGTTTAAACTAAGTCAGCAACTCTGATTCTTTTATTTGAAGAACAAATAGCAGGATAAAATTCCTAAGCCCTAGAAATATACCATCATAACTTGCCACCCAAAGATTTCAAATTCCTCAATTGAAAAACGCTAACAGTCTTTTCTCTGTCTCCCTCTCTTTGTCCTTCCTCCCTTCCCTCCTCCCTCCTCCCTCCTCCCTCCTCCCTCCTCCCTCTCTCTCTCTCTCTCTCTCTCTCTCTCATATCTTTCCTTCTTCCCTTCCCCTCCCTAATCCTGTGTTCTTAGGAATCGGGAATATTCTTAGGAATAGTGATGCTAGGAGATCACTAATTTTTTGTAAGGTTTGGTTTTGTCCATTTCATAGCTGAGTAGCCTTAGACAAGTAACTTGACATCTGTAATCCTTACTTTCCTCTTAGAAAATGGGTATAATGATACTCATCTCACAAAGCTGTGAGTTTTTTTGTTGTTGTTTTTGTTTTGCTTTGAGGTGGAGTCTTGCTCCATTACCCAGGCTGGAGTGCAGTCGTGTGATCTTGGCTCACTGCAACCTCCACCTCCCAAGTTCAAGCAATTCTCCTGTCTCCGCCTCCCAAGTAGCTGGGACTAGAGGCACACATCATAATTTTTGTATTTTTATAGAGATGGAGTCTCACTATGTGGGTCAGGCTGGTCTCAAACTCCTGACCTCAGGTGATCTGCCTGCCCTGGCTTCCCAAAGTGCTGGGATTACAAGCGTGAGCCACCATGACTGGTCAGAGCTGTGAGTTTTAGAAGGATGACACATGTAAAAATACACAGCACTGAGTGTCTACACACAGGAGACCCTTGTGTTGTTCCAGACTCTTGGTCACAAATAACAGAAACCCAGCTCACTGCTGTTTATTCAAACAAGAGAATTTGTTGTCACAGAGAAATGAGAAGCCCAGGGGTGGCTTTACACTTATGATCAGATCTGGTCATATCCAGGGGCTCGACAATGTGGTTTGGGCTCTGTTTCTATCTCCATGCAACTTCCCTCCCTGAAAAGATGGCCACCGGCAGCCCCAGAGCCACATGGTCCCTGCTTTGTGCCCCAGCAGGAAAACGCAGCTCCCTGCAATAACTGTACACCCACTCGGGCAGGAACTCTGAACAGTCCACCACTATGGCCGACGGGAGATTTGCTGTGCACAAAGAGACAGCAGAGCTTGCAGGTAAAAGCCATCAGCGTCCCCTGTGAGGCCCAGTAAATGTCAGCTCTCATTCTCCTACGGCTGCTACTCATCAAAGAAGCAATAAATCATAAATGACTCTAACACCTACTGCTGTGTGATCTTACCAAGTTACTCAACCACTCTGTTTCCTCCTTTCTAAAGCTGTGATCATGACAGTACTTACCTGATAGGGTTGCTGTGAGGATGCAGAAAGAGGATGGGTACAAAGCACCTAGCCCAGAGTCTGTCACTTAAAAAGTCATTGTCATTTTCAAATATGGTTACACATTTTTTTCCCATGGGGATGCATCCTGAGCGTTGGGCAATTTCGTCATCTTGTAAACATCACAGCAGACTTACGCAAACCTAGATGGAGTAGCCTATCGCTCTTAGGCGGCACACCTTCGTGTACTGAACACAACAGGCTATTGTATCGCATAGTATTTGTGTATCTAACCATACCCAAGCCTACACAAGGTAATATGTTGCACTACGACATTATGATAGCTACAACTTCACTACGTGATAAGAATTTTTCAGTTCCATCGTAATCTTATCGGTACCACCATGGTGCAGGCAGTTCATTGTTGACCAAAACATCATTATGTGGCACATGACTGTATTATCATTAATTTCTACAAGTCCTATCTTTCTAGTTCTTTAGTATCTTAATGAATCTCCAATAAATGTGCTAATTAAGATTAATTCCTAAGACAAAGAACCAAGGCACAGACTTGCCAATGCTTTAGCTTGGCCTTGGGGCAGGGACAAGGCTAGGAGAGTGCCCTAGGTTGGCACCAAGTTGTCTCACTGTCCAGCCTCATGAAATGCGTCCCCTTGTCAACAGTCTCCCTGGAAAGCTCCAATGCACAGAGTCAGATCCACCAGGCACTTATTTAGTGGCCAGAAACTCCCTCTACTGCTTTGCAGAAGATGGAGCTGCAGGAAGCAGAGTACCCCCAGCCCTCTCCTCACCAGGGCCTCCCCAACCCAAACCATACACAGCTGGTAGATGAAGAGTTGCAAAGACTTAAGGTGAGACAGCATGTGAGTATGCAGTGCTCAGCACACAGGGCTCAGGGGCTGGCACACAGCAGGTGCACCATCCCCGTGAACAGGGAGGATACAGACTTGGTGGCTTACTACCTCATGGTGATCCTGCCCTTCTCACCCCTTTCCCTTCATTCCTGTATCAGACCTGTTCTCCAGGCCATGTGGGTGCATGTGACCGTGGCTGGGAAAGCACCTCATTCCCCTACCCACCATGATTGGTCCAGAGCTTGTCCTAATCATCCATGGTAGACCAATTGGAGTCCTTCCCTAAGATTCTTTTTGGGGGAAGCTGGGAGACAGCTTTGATGTGGTTTGATACACCAATACCATTGTGTATTTCAACTCTGGGGGCACAGAGCTGAAAGGATGTAAGCCTGGCTCCTGGGTGGGTAAAGCCTGCCTGGAGTTGGGGAAGATGAGAAGAGGAAGGCCTGGGGAGGGCCCAGAGAATGAGAGCTGAGCCCAGCTTCTGTGCCCTGGACTCCTCCTGCCTTTCCTTCTCTGGGCTGTAGTTCACTTTCTAATAAAGGTTCCTGTGGGGGTGGCGGCTTTGGTGTGGGCCTCCTTCACCTGCACCATGAGGAGTACCAGCAAAGGCCACCCGACATGCCCTCACCGAGAAATGAGCACCCTCGGCTTCACAACTTTCCCCTACCCCTGCCAGGAATGAAGATGCTGTCTTATTCCTGTCCAGTGGGTTCCTGGACAAAGAAGGGAGGGTCTCTCGTTTCCAGGGGCTGCTGATCAGACAGATGGAGGGATCATTCTGAAGACCTCCGTGTCTGTCATTCCCCACTCCCAGATTGAGTGGGGTTATCTCAGGCCAAGAGACAATGGGACAGACGGCCCCGGCACCAGCCCCAGCACCAATTCTGCCACTCAGGTGGTGATCACTCTCCCACATTTGTCTCCTGTTACTTTAAACCAGTGGTTCAGTGCACTAGGCTGAATTGAAGCAGTTACCCTGGAAGGAAATACAGCCACTTTTCCTTTCTAAATTTGTGTCTTGGTACTGAGACAGAACCCTTAGTGTGGCTGTTTTTCCTGCCTTAATTTCATGTGTGGTTTCCCAGTCAGAAGCAAATGACAGCAAATCACAATCTCAGCATCACAATCCCCACGTCTGTTGCTTTAATTTCCAAGTCACAAAAGCATGGGCGCTTCTGGTTCGTCCCAGTGGGGCAGGGGAGGGGGGAGACCCACTTCCTCCTAGCGACCCAGGTGCACACTCCCCAGCTCTTCACACCACTTAAAAGATTCTGCCCAAACTGCCAACCATGTGTTACAAACAAAGCCCTTCCCGAAAATGGATCAAAAACACTTTGTAATGAGTGTAGGAGCCGGTTTAAAAAGGCCCAACATCAAACAAAATCCCAGTCCTGAGTCGCCGACACTCAAATAGCCCCTCCCAGGCTGGGAAAACAACCTCCAGAGCGCTTCCATTTGTGTGAGTAGTTCTCCAAGCCAACGTATCCAAATACATATACCTGATGAGTGGACTTTTTTCTTTACATTCATTATATACATTCCTTGGATAGTCAATTGTCTAAAGTTGCAACAGTTTGGAGGGAAGAGCTATATAGGGTTTGCAATGATCTTTGTCCACCAATTACTGGACAACTGGAGCCAAATTCCACAAATAGCCGTGGTTCTTCACCTAAGTGGTGCTTCTCCCGCTAGACATCCAGTGCCACGCATTTTCTCTTGCAAATCTTTCCTTGCATCATTCCTCCAACCCCAGCAGATATCCTGGCTGAGCTTGTTTTCTCTGTGAGGGGCTACACTGCACACTGGGGCACTTGAGAAGGGCTTGATGGGCCGGGCACGTTGGCTCACGCCTGTAATTCCAGAACTTTGGCAGGTCGAGTCGGGTGGATCACCTGAGGTCAGGCATTCAAGATCAGCCTGGCCAATATGGTGAAACCCCGTCTCTACTAAAAATACAGACAAATTAGCTGGGCATGGTGGTGTGTGCCTGTAATCCCACCTACTTGGGAGGCTGAGGCAGGAAAATCGCTTGAACCCGGGCGGCAGAGGTTAGTGAGCCAAGATGGCACCATTGCACTACAGCCTGGGTGACAGAGAGAGACTCCAGTTCAAAAAAAGAAAAAGAGAGAAAAAAAAGGAAAAGGGCTTGCTGCAGGGAGAGTCAGCGCAGGGAGGGGCCTCCTTTGCACTCCCACTGCCCCCGCACATCTCCTGGGTAGAGCACTGCTCCAGAGAGCAAACTGTTTCCTTATCTGTGCACCATTCCACTACAAGCCCCACAAGGGCCTGCGTAAATCCATCTCCAGGCCCTGCACCCACAAACTGGCAAAGGAAGTTTCAGGAAAAGTCTTTCGAATAGGAGTCTTTGGGCTGCCTCTGGTTCATTTCCTTAGGAATTATCCTTCCTGCCCTTCTTGACACAAAAGGGCCTGAAGGCTTCCAGATCTCAACAGGAGCTCCCAGGGGCTCCTGGCAGGAGGATGTTCTGCCTCTCTGGAGGAATGCAAGAGCCAAGGAGCCCCTCCTGTTTTAGTTGCACCCCCATCCCCTTTCTCCACCCTGCACCATTCCCTTACCCTCTGTGTGAGGCAAAGCCTGAAGTCCCTCCTTCCCGCCCTTCCTCCTGCCTACTCATGGATTACACTCCCTACTGCAGTTACACCACAATGCTTCTGCCATGCTGACAACTAGTGTCACACAGGAGTGTAATCAGAAGCACCTGGCACCCAACCCCGCTACTGATGGCCTCCACCTTTTCATTTCAGGCTTCTTCCTCCAGAGTGCTTGAGGCTCCCTGGCCTCCTGGCCTCTCCCAGGTCCAAGGCACTGACTCCAGCTCTTGGCTCCAACGTTTACAGGAACACTGGGGCTAAGAAAATCAATTGTGTTAATCAGCAAAGCCCTCCACCAGAGATGCTATCCTAAAAGCAAACCATATGTAAAACACTTAAAGTGGGGAGCTCTGTAATATGTTTCTTTTGTTACACGACCATCACACATTTGTCCGGAGTTTGGGGCTTTCAAACCACATAAGGTTTTATGTGATCGTTATAAAATCCTTTCATTTCCCAAAGGTAGGGTAGTAAGGATTAAGGTTGACTACTGAAGACAGCTTTGTTGTAAATGGTCTCTAATGTCACAAAAGTAGCTTGGGAAGACAGGCTTATTAAACAAATTTCTTGGGTTGCAAATCATTAGAAGCAATCGCATGTCATGTTCATTTGCTTAACCCAAAAGGTATCTATTTGGATGTTTAAAGAAACTATGCAAATTAACATTGTTCCCAGTGCCCACAAGAAAGCTGGCTGATCTTAAAGGAAATCCAGGGAGCTCCTTGAAGAAGTCAGAATGGAGTTGAGCATACCCTTTTGCGGTTTTCCCACCTCTTTTGTAAAACGTTCTTCATAGGAATCTGTGTCTGGAGAAAAAGGGGTTGTGATTTGTTAATCCGAAGATGGGAGACCTCAAAGGAATCTCACCCAACTAGTCCTGCGCTGTCATCCTATCAACAGAGAAGTCAGGGGTTGCTCAGTGAGGGGTACGGCTGGCACCACATCTGAGCCTCCCTGTCCTGTGTTCCTTACTCTTCAGTGGACCCGGTGACCTCCTCGCTTTGGAGCCATCCTGTGTTCCTTTAACAGTAGGATGAATACGCAGGCGATGATGAGATTGTAATGGGACAAGGGGGAGAGGCGTGGGGGAGCTCTTGATGAAAACGTGGGTTTTTGAAATTACCATGATGAAGGGAGGAGCTTGCACCAGCAAGTGTAGGGAGTGTGGGTTTGAGTTCTGCTCATTGGACAGCGTAAGCGGTCACATCCTTGAATCCTGGTCTTTTGCAGGCCAGTCATTGGTCAGGTGGTGGCCTTTTCCCTCTTGCCCCTCTGCGCTGAGACCCACATTCGGCTCCTGATCTTGGAGCCCTGACACAGTCCTTACCACTGAAGTAGCTGTGGCCCTTCATATAGTCCTTCCTACCACACCAGCAACGGGACTGAGTCCTGTCAGTGGAGCCAGGGCCAGGTCCACACGTCTCCCCAGGAAGCCAGCACTTTCTCTCGTGGACCACCTCCCCATTCCCACAGGGCCCTCCTAAAGGGCCTTTGGATGACCACATTGGCCTTTCTTTCCTAGGGTGGGGAATGAGAGATGCTAAGACGGGCCAGTCTCTTTTTCTTAAGAGTTTAGGGATTTGTCTGAAAATATTATTCAGATAAACGTATGAGTCCTGTGTTAACTGCAAAACTACTTAACAGCACACTTGTTAGAATACTGGTCGGCACTCTGATTCCATTTCGGCATTGTTTTTCCTTTGGTTCTATTGGGATCCTGGTTCTAACTGGGTCCTGGTAGTAACAGGCTGTAAGCGGCCCGGTGTATAGCATCATTTCTCAGTAGTATGGTGTGGTGCTGGTGGTTTATTTTCCCTATGCACACTTGGCCTAATATGGAAGGATAGTTTGTATACATGCACGGTACGTGATCATAAGACTCCTTTACAGAGTATGAAACTGAGGATTAGAGAAGTCAGATGAGTTTCCCAAAGTCTTACAGAAGGCTGATAGAAAAAACCAGAGCCAAGGCCAAACATGTTTCATCTCTCCTTCCACATTAGTTGAAATGTGAATAGCTGCTTGGAACACAGTATTAAGAAGGATTCCGAGGCTGTGTCCAGGCTCAGTGGGGAAAAAGTGCCCTGATTTGACCATTATACTGTGTACTCAGGGCCTAGTTTATTTTCCACAAGCAGCCATTTAAAACATGTCTCATCCAAGGCACGGTCCAGGGTGAGGAACCTCAGAGGATCAATGATGCAGCCTGTATTGTCACCGGGGCTCATCCCAAAGCAAATCCTGCTGAAGTTCTCCTCTGAACAACCCTTATCACTCATGCTAACATGTTGGATCCTGCAAGTCACAAATACGAAGGTATGAGCATTGGCCAAATCCCAGCTGGGAAGCTACACTGGGAAGGCGAAGACCCCTTTCCATTAAGATAACAGAACCTAGAAGGCCCATAGCATGGTGCCTTAGAGCATGTGGGCATCGGATGGGATCCTTGAAACTGCCAAGGGGTGTGTGACCTCTCCGAAGCCTCCAGGGATGATACTACTCCCTGGGGTGGTTATGCCAACCATGTTAGAGACAATGGTTTCCGTACCCATTGCCTGGGGCTGCCATAATAAAGTGCCACACACTGAGTGGCTTTAAACAACAGAAACCTATTGTCTCACACTTCCGGAAGTTTGAATCCAAGGTGTGTTAGGACCCTGCTCCCTCCGAAGGCTCCAGGGAAGAGTCTGTCCTCTTTGGCTTCTGGCGGCTTGCAGGTGCAGCCCTCCACTCCTCCCCCCCACGCGGCCTTCTGCCTATAAGGACACGAGTCCTACTGGATGAGGGGCCCACTAATTGATGGCTTCATTTTAACTTGTTACCTCTGTAAAGTCCCCATATCCAAGTATGGTCACACTGTGAGGTACTGGGAGTTAGGACTCCAACATAGCTTTTCTGGTGGACACAATTCAGCTCCTAATAATGTCCACACAACCCCAAGCAGGGCCTGGCACCCTGTGCGCTTTCTGCAGAGCGACTGAGTCAGGCCCTGGCCGTGTCTAGGCCATCGGTGACTACAGCGCCTGGACGGGACCGCCCACCACAGGCCCTGGAGGCTGCCCCACGGCCCCCTGACAGGGTCTCTGCTGGTCTGAGGGTCCCTGACCCGGGAAGCGGCCTCAGGAGGGGAAAGACTCGCGCTCCGGGCTCAGTGTAGCCGCCCCGAGCAGGACTGGGATTCTCACTAAGCGGGCGCCGTCCTACGACCCCCGCGCGCCTTCAGGACCACTCGGGCACGTGGCAGGTCGCTTGCACGCCCGCGGACTATCCCTGTGACAGGAAAAGGTATGGGCTATTTGGCAAACTAAGGCACAGAACCTGAGGCGGAAGCTGGGAAGACGCTGCCTGGTTTGTACCGGCCAAAGGGCCGGGGTGTCAGGCGCACAGAGTAGCTAGCGCTGCTGCAGGACCCGGGCCCGCGCGTCGGCATCCAGCGAGGCTGCGCAGAGTGGCTCAGGTCCGGCGCCGCCGCACTGGGCATGCGCCGACCCGGTCGGGCGGGAACACCCCGCCCCGCCCCGGCCCCGGCCCCCGCCCCCGCGCGCCCCGGCCCCGCCCCCGCGCGCTCTCTTGCTTTTCTCAGGTCCTCGGCTCCGCCCCGCTCTAGATCCCGCCCCATGCCGCCAGCCCCGCGCCCCCTCGGCCCCGCCCCCGCGCCCCGGATATGCTGGGACGGCCCGCGCCACTAGAACGCTTTGCGTGCCGGCTCCCGCAGGTCCTCGCGGTCCGCACCGTTTGCGACTTGGTGAGTGTCTGGGTCGCCTCGCTCCCGGCAGAGTTGCGGGGCTCTGCCTCGGGACGGCGGCAGTCTCGAGTGGTCCTGCAGGCGCCCTCACTCGGGTCTGGGGCCGCCCTGAGAGCCACCTACCCCGGGCGAACTCCAGGTGCGCCCCAAGTGCCTCCAAAGTGTTGCCCAGCCTTCCCCCGGGCCTAGGGTTCCTGGACCAAGCTGCGCTGCAGTGACTGTGGCCTGGCGTGTGGCGGGGTTCGTGGCAGCCCCTGCCTTACCTCTGGGTGCCGGCTCCAGGCCCGGGCCCCGGGTTCTTCCTGCCCCTCCATGCTGCCAGCTTTCCCTCCGCCAGCTGCTCCGGGAAGCTTCCAGAAGCCCCTGCGCGGGCCTTGGCTTGCAGCAAGCCTTTAGCATACTTGGGCAGAGTCCCATATTTCCTTCCTGCTGGAGGCCAAGTTCTAGGGGCCTCCTCCTAACCATGGCTGGTGTTTGTGTACCTCACACCCTAATTGTATTCATCAATACCTGGGAGTAAGCAAGGCTCGCTGGAGAGCCACACACACTGGGCGCCGTAATTCCCACATTGGTGACAACACCGCAGAGGAGTTCTGAACTATGTATTTCGCACTCCTGGGTTCATCATCTCCTGAAATCTCAGGGTGGTGTTTGCTCTCAGTTGCCTCAGCTGGGTAGCTGGCTTTCTGTCCTGGAAAGCAGACTTTGTACATGTGTGTGCAACCTTTGCCTGCTGGGACCATCATCAGACTGAGGGAAGCGGCTTGGTCCGGAGAGGGGTCACCACAGCTGTTCTCAGTAGAATATTAAGCAGAGAGAGTTAAGCACAGAGAGCTGAGAATTAGACTGGTTATTTACATAGACATCCAAATATAAACCTATAGAGTATCTGTGAAGGCAGACTCTCCCGTCATCTGCCCCATCCCTGGGCAGGTGACTAGGAGATGGTTTTGTTATTTTCAGGGCCCACTCAGTGGCTAAAACACTCTGAGAGATGAACAGATTTTAAAAAAACGAAAGCTTAGCACACTTGGTGGGTGGGGCTGTGAAAACTTTGAAGGAAACCGCGTCAAGAGCCTGGCTGATTGTTAACAACACATTAACTCAGAGGGCCAGGATACTTGCTGGGACCCAGAGCGTGCCTGCAAGTAGCAGAGGAGAGCTGGCCTTACTCTGCCGCCTGTCGTATCTGTCTTCCTGGGCCCTCCCTCTCCTGTTAGAATTTGAATAGTGGGGTGGTATCAGCCACAGTCAGGGGCCTGGATGAAGTAGGCCTCCAGTACAGAGCTATACTCAGGTACTTTTCAATGTATATATTTTAATAATAATAAAAAATATCTGGGCCAGGCACGGTGGCTCACGCCTGTAATCCCAGCACTTTGGGAGGCTGTGGTGGGTGGATCACCCGAGGTCGGAAGTTGGAGACCAGCCTGACCAACATGGTGAAACCCCGTTTCTACTAAAAATACAAAAATTATCCAGGTGTGGTGGTGCGTGCCTGTAATCCCAGCTACTTGGGAGGCTGAGGCAGGAGAATTTCTTGAACCTGGGAGGTGGAGGTTGCAGTGAGCTGAGATTGTGCCATTGCACTCCAGCCTGGGCAACGAGAGTGAAACTCTGTCCCAAAGGAAAAAAAAATCTGTATCACAATAACGATTTAACTAATAGTATTAGGCACTACTTTAAAAAGGCTTTGCTGTTAGTAAGGTTGAAAGAAATAGAGCCCTAGGTAACATTGGGTAGCACTTTGTTCAGCTGCTCAGATTCTTGAAACTTGTTGAGGTCTTACGTTGATATCACCTGGGGCTTACCTTTCATTGTTTGGGTTTCCTTCCCAGGTGTCTCAATCAGGGCCTCCTCTCTTCTTTTGCAGGGAAGAAGGGGGCAGGAAGGCCTGAAAAAGAACTTGCCTTCCCCATTGCCCCCTTAGAGTTTGTTCCTCTCCAGTCTTCTTCCTACCCTTTCTTAGGACACCAAAGCCCTGACTCTTCTGGTATTTTATAATAAAATAAACTTACTAAATTGTCCTGTTTTGCAGAGGACATACGTTTAGGAGCCAGTGACTCAAACCTTCCGGTTGGTTTTTTTTTTTTTTTGGTGTTAATACCCTTTTCAATTTATAGTATATTCTTTTTGATAGAAAGAAAATGAAGGCAAAACTGAATTTTCTGCATTATCTTTTCCTTTAGCATTATTCTTTGATTGTTTTTGCGCTTCATTCTGACCCCCTTCCCCAGCATAAAGTTCCTTGTTCAGATCCACTTGCCGTGAGGTTTTTGACTTCCCTTTGGGACTCTAGTTCCTCCAGGGGACACATTGAACCTCCCAGACCCTGAAGGGCCCTGTACTCATTTGGCTCTTGGGCTGCTGCTACAGTCCTTCCTGACTCTCTGTTTCCTGGGACAGGTAGCTTTTGATCCAGCTACTTTCTGGGCTCGGGTCTTACCACAGAATATTATTTTATTACTTTTAGAGACAAGGGCTTGCTCTGTCGCCCAGGCTGGAGTGCATAGCTCACTGCAGCCTCAAACTCCTGGGCTCAAGTGAACCTCCTGCTTTGACCTCCTGAGTAGCGGGGACTACAGGTGTGTGCCACCATGCCTGGCTAATATTTTTTTTTAGAGGCAGGGTCTCCCTGTATTGCCTAGGGTGGTCTCGAACTCCTGGACTCAAGTGATCTTCCCTCCTAGACCTCCCAAAGTGCTGGGATTACAGGCATGAGCCACCGTGTCTGGCCCTGCAGGATATTATTTAAACCAGACCTGAAGGATTTAAAGTCAGAGACACATAAACCATAACCTGACCGTGGGGTGGTATGGTCTTTATATAGACGCTCATGATGTACAAGCCAGCCCTACGCCCCACTCTTGGTTTGAAGTGAAAGGGTTTATCTGGGAGGGAGGAGGTTTGAGCTGTCCAGGAGGGCCGTTGGTTGGCATGAGGAGTTTGTGAACCTATGCTGTTAGCTCCGCAGGCCTGTCTTGGGCAGAGCTAAGTAGAAGTTGGAGACCTTGTGTTGTGGACCAAATGTTGCAAGATGTATGTTCTGTGGCTTTTCATTAACTGCTGCATGTCTGCTGGTTGGTGGAAATAGTCTGGTTTTTTTTTTTTTTGACTTAAAAAAATTGACAGTACAGCTTATATAGGAGGGCTGCGTGGTTTGGGGAAAACTAATTAATGAGTATAGTATGGAATGTAATGAATGACTTCCTCCTTCATAGAGCTATTAAAGTGATTTATGAAAAGGAAGAAATCATTTTTTTGATTTTGTTGATCTTTGAAGTATTAGAGTGGCTTTGGCTGGTGTGGTTCACCTGTAAAGGGATCAAACACTGAGACCTGCCAAGGTGCTGGGTCCCGGCAGCGAAGCCAGTCGGCGGCAGCCTGCACGCCCGAAGCTCCTCCAGCTAAATAACTGAATAGGCCGCCCTGGGGGCTGCCCATGCAGATGCACTGAAGGGTGAAACTTGGTTTTGACCCCACAAGTTGTTTTCAGTTGAATCAGTGGCTTAACAGCAGAGCCGGGTTCTCCAAGGAGGCCTCATGTCCCCTTCACCCCCCACCGGAGGTAGCTGTTCTAAAACCAGTAAAAAATTCTACAAAAACATTTTCTTATGGTTGTTAAATTGGTCATAGTGTGCGTAACCACGAAAGGAATGGTGAGAGCGCGATAAATGGCTGGTGTGTTCACTCTCCTGCTCCTAAAAGTTTCTTGGTAGAGTAATTCTCTACCCGTGATGCTTGTGAAGTGGGCAAAGTCTCCCACCCAGCCCTGTCGCCCATTCCCAGAAGCCTGAGCTGGGGGACACCGAATGGATAGTCCACCAGCGGCGTGGCGTGTAAAAGCAGGCACTTGTTAAATCTATTTGTTTTTATTATAGGCATCGTTCTGCCAGTCACAGTGATGTGTTTATGGACAATTTTCTGCAAGCACAGCGCGGGTGGCAGTTTTTACCGACAAATTGAGTCATATGCATAGAGGTTTAGAAAACTTTTACCTTATTGACAGATCAGGCAATTCTGGCACAGGATGTTCAGAGATATTTAGGTGGGTAAAGAGAGTGAATGAATCTCAGGGCAGAGAAGGAGATGGGGCATTGTATGTTGAAATGTAATAATTGCTAGTTATTTATCATTTGTTTTTAAACTTTTAGCTACATTTTACTCCCCAACCAAGAGGACTCGGGTGGGCAGCCAGGGATGTCATGTTCAGGCGTCTCTCCTGCTTGTGTGGGGTAAGAGCCACCACCGGAATGCGGTTCCGGCAAGGCCTGACGAGTCACAGCCCCTCGAACCTGTTGCTCTCCGTAAAGTGGGGTCTTCACAAGCAACAGCGGCAGAGTGTTTCTCTGAGGGTGGCCTGGGCCCTCTGCATCAGAATTACTGTGGGTGCTGGCTAGAGAGGTCTCTCGATTACAGGGCCCCATGGCAGACCTACAGGATCAGAACCTAGGGATGCCAGGGGATTCTGGCAGACCCTAATGCTTGAGCACCTCTAGGGAAGTCCTTAGGATCCTCTGGGAAGTAGCACTGTCCAGCCCAGGCAAGCTCCGAGTCCCCGTTCCAGAAGGATCCATTGGCAGTTGGCATTGCTGCAGGTTGTCTGTGCATATGGGTCTGAGTACGGTTTTGTAACTCCTGAGAGATGTGAATCTCTTCAGATTGCAAACCCAACATGTTATCATAGCATTCGAATTTTCAGTTTTGTGGTTATGACCAGGTGCAGATGTTATCAAAACTTTAGCGTTAGTTTTAGCGTTAGTTTTACAAACAAATGTGAAGAATGGACAGCCATATCATATTTCACCCCCCCTTTCCTTTTGAGAGGGTTGTCTTGTTTTTATCCCCTGCTGGGTCAAAGCATTTTCCTGGTCTCAGGTGAGGGTTAACTTTCAGAGGCACAGCTGAATACATTTTGTGGAACAGAATTGAGCTTTTCTACAGAAAGTGCCAGAACCGTGTGTGGGAGTGATGCTCTTTCCTAGCTGGGTCACCCTGGGAAACTCTTAGCCCTCCAGGCACCTCCTCATCTATTGGGTGGGGACGATCATGCTTATTCTGTCTACCTGGGTAGTATAAGCACACGAGACAATAAATCCTTATTTTTTTTAAAGTAAAATTTCTACCCACTACATAGGTAGAAATTTTAATTTGGAGCTGAGTCTCATGGAAGGATGAAACGAGAAGACGGTGAAGAACCATTTCGAGCCCTTGTTTTCCCCGAGTCCAGTCCGAATCTTTATTTTGCAGATCTGCACGCACCCAAGCCCTCACCGGGGGCGTGTGCATGGCAGTCAGGAGCGCACCTTCTGGGAACAGACTGGCTTCCATTTGGACCTGGCTTCACGAGTTATAATCC